ATTGTATTTCTTATTGGAGTATTTTGTTGTATTAAGTTCTTACAGGTGTATAATTAATCCAATTAGGTAACTTAGTTACTCTGCTGTAATTGGAATCGCAAGAAGATTATTTTGTGATCGACATCTATTGCAACTTCAGTGTCTGATGAGCTGGCAGAAAGAACCTGAGTGGTGATACCAATTACGCTACACAACCTAGGCTAATAGAAACCGCATTCGATTTTTTATTTTTTTATGGTGCCGAAATTGTTAGCTTATATTTCCGACCAAAACGGTAGAAAGCCAGATAACAGTTTAGAGACTGCCAAGCATACAATTCTACTTCTCTGGTTGCACAAAATAATGAACAAATACCTGCCGACCAGCTGGAACAGTTAAGTACTACATGAAAGTTTTATTGAACATTTTCGGCGCCATTTGGCCAAATTATTGCTGAAAATCCGAAGTTAGGCACTTTTACGATACTTGGCGACCAAAACAAAATGCTACTTTCCAATCTTAGTCAGGCGACGCCGGAAAATTTTTACGCGACCCACAGTTTGGGAACCACTGTACTAATGGTTGGCATGTCAAGGCATTGGTCAATACCGTGCCTGTTTTGTTTTCGATTGATACCGGTGCGGGTTTCTCGCTCATTGATACCGCTGTTTATTAGATGTTACAGGAAAATTCGGACATTCCAGAACTGCATCCTTTCCAAGTACCACTACGTACTGCCAGTGGCGTGCCTGTTTTGTTTTTGATTAATACCGGTGCGGGTGTCTCGCTCATTGACACCGCTGTTTATTCGATGTTACAGGAAAATTCGACATTCCAGAACTGCATCCTTTTCAAGTATCACTGCGTACTGCCAGTGGCGAGTCATTAGTGTCTCATGGTGCACTTGATGTCAACCTGACAATTGAAAGCTGGTCTGTGATGCAAACCTATGTTGTCCCCGATCTAGGGTCACGGTTGGACATTCTAGGTATGGACTATCTTGGCAAATAGGACTGTGTTCTGTATTCGGTCGGGTCACTGTCGTGTGACCAACCCCGTGTAACTTCGAAAATTTGGTACCGGTGTTGAATTCGCCGCCACGCTTAACTTGGTGCTGACAGTTTAATATTGCTTCGAAAATCATCGTGCGACTTTCTGCGTTTTTCTGTGTTCTGACGGCGCTGTCTCGCGTCAAGATTAAGTGAGTGACTTATAAATATTCAAGTTAGTTGTGCAAATGGAATATTACACGATATACTTGACTATAGAACTGATAGAATGCAGATTACAAAACAAAATAGAAGAACAATCAATTGAGTGGGAAGGCCCTAGGACCGGTTCAGCCCTCGAAAGCACATTGACAATGAGATTTTAAATTCACTTTAAAACTCCCATGAGTAGATGTAGTCTAGTAGAGAGCCGCTTTGTGCTACGATTGCTCAGCATAAAAAAGAGTAAGTTGTAAATGTTCTTATAGGTACCCAATACAGTAATGATTTGTCAAGGAATGTAAATTTTGATAAGAGATATGTATTTTTTCGGATCATAAAATAGTTGCAGTGTGAGGATTTATGCTGTGTGATCAAAGCAGTAAGCAATAATATAAATTGACTGATAGGTGATTAAAATTGTGACGTCTGTATGAAAAACATAAATTAAACAAACATATTTTAACTTCAATTAATTAGTGTGTTATCATGGAGTTCTACTGATCTTGATAATTTTTTCCCAGACTCATTCTGTCATTGTATACGAAGTCACCAGCTGCATATTACAACATAAGAGGTGTTTTACGTTTGCCATGATAATCCATTTTGCTTGATTTCAGGCTGGTACTAATAACTTTTTTCGCATAAATTAGATACCTAGTATTGCTATTATCTAAACATGGCTTCAACATATTATTGATTTGTGATCACTGGCAATAACTTTTTTGCTACTGCAAAATCCACCACATTTATTGAATGCATTAATATTTCTCATGGAACCGTTACATTTTATTAATTCCAATTTGTTTTGTGGGGTATTCACATTTTTGTTTCAAATAATACTTTGTCAAAGTGGCTGTTATACTTATATATAAACACATACATGCTTAGATTGTAAACAAGGTTCAATTGTTGTGGGCAATTTATTTCAAAATACCGTAACTAAAATATAAATTTTTGCAGACGTCTCGAAACTCACTCTTGAAGAATGATTTGCTGTCACCAGATGGGGTTTTGGCATGGAAACACATCTAGAGGGAATTTATGAAGATATGTCTAAAAAAATACATTTGAAACAGCCATGTAAACTAACATGTTTAACTCAATAGCTTGATAAAAATGTTTGTTAAATATTAAGCACAGGTATAGCACAGAGAATTGTTTTGGGTAATAATTCATTTGTATTTTTTTATTAGATCTATCTCCTATTGAGCATTTAAATACTTGGATCATGATTATTATTTCTAAAATTACCAACAGTATTCAGGTCATTAATAACAGATGAACCGGGGAAGTTTTTCTTTGTAGGTTCTTCCTGCATCTGTTGCTAGGATTTCGGAAATGTCTGAATTTTAAGCAACTGCCAAGTTTTGCAAACTGCAAAATACCTTTTTTGACATATGCAACATCACTACTGACGTGGTACTACTCTTTGAAACATCTGGAGAAAAAAGACTGCAGTAGATCAGCTAAAATTTCATAAATTATTTTACACACTGGAAGTCTACAACAGGTGATTAGCTCAAGGGGTTTTTAACAAAATAAATGCTATACAGCTACATGCAACACATTTGGTAGTCATATTTAAAAAACAACAACATTTCATTGCTTCTCCAGCGTTTGAAGGGATCCAAATACTGGTACCTTCAACATGTCCACGGTGAGGGCGAAGCGCAGTTTAGTTGGTACTCCCGTATTCTGTGTACCAGATTGGGGTTAGGCCATAACTTTATTTCAACTTTCCTTATTCTAGGATAGGATTTACATATTCATCCCGGGGGAAAGGAAAGACGGCTTATCCATATGGCGAACCACAGCCTCTCGTACGGTTACCATTCCATATCGGGTATGGGATTAGTCAGTTACTTGTTTTTCGGAAGCATGGACTTGACGGTGGAGGAAGCCGTAACTGACCAGCAGTTACGTGAACCGCCCTACGGCGGCGAGGAGTCCAGCAATCCTCTCGCACTTAACCAATCCGCATGGGATTCGAACCTGCGAACACACGCAGAGTAATTAGAGGTGCGGTGGCGAGCGTATTCCTAACGCTTATCACGATGAGCCACACCGCCGCGCCAGTTCTAGTTCTATTACAAATTCGGGGATTGTGTGTGCGTTAGCCAAGTGTATATATCCTGTGCCCATGAGTTTCTGTCCCTTTACACAACTTGGTGTAATCTAGGCGAACAATACTAGTTACCTCCATATTAGTACATGCACTTATGGAGCGCTCTTTAGTTATATTTATATGTACAGCTGGGGTACTGCGAAACCAGACCACGCAATGAATTTGAGATCGCTACGCAAAATACTTATATACGGCGATAAAATTAGGCCAAATACAGGTAAATGGGGAAGCGATTCTGATGGGCCATCTTGCTAATTTTTTCTGGTCGTTTTTGTTCGCTTTTGACTAATACGTTGGCAATATTATTAACCCACGACTTTCGCAAATTTATAAAATTGCCAATATTAGCACCGTATGGTGGGCTGGGATATACTAGCGTTTGATACATAATGAGAAACTAATCAAGCTTAGGAGAATATGCGAGAAAAATCGACGCAAATGATTGATTTTTGTAAAATCCTATAAGAAATGCATTACGCGCCTCGCAAATATTGGAAGTCTATCGTTAAAACGAGAGAGCCTTCAAATGGTCCCGCGGAAACGAGAGAGAAGCGCACTCTATTTATATATATCTGTGGACTACCCTTGTTTTATCTGTTAAATAATGTCATGTGATATTGTTTCCATATTTGGTATTGAGGACACTGGGGGGGTGTTGTGACACTGTCGGTTCTGTTCTTTTGGAGTGAGCCTGTTAGCGTGTGATGTGGTTGGTACCGGTACAGTGTGGTTGGATTCTGGTCATGAGTGTCTGTGGGAGTGCCCCTGGTCTCCGGTGGGTTATCAGTAGACTTACCACACGTCCCGCTTTAGGCGGGACAGTCCCGCTTTTTAGCGTCTTGTCCTGACAAGTCAGCCAAAATTCCGTTTTTGCGTTCAGCCATCCAGCATAATACACGAACATTGTAAAATTGGAACGTGAATTCCAATCCACTCAACGTTGTTGTAGTGGAGTCCTATTTGCACCCGTACCCGCCTTGAAGAAATATGCGCAATTTCCCAGCTTCTAGTAACTGCACAACCAAAGTAAAGAGGCAACGAGATCCTTAGAAAACGAACTGTATTCATCAATCTCCACATATGAGTAAAATGTTGCTACAGCACAGAAACTTGAAGACCAACGATAAAACTAATTTATAACGACACGGATGCACTACAAACAAGCAATGAAAGAATGACAAAATAACATTCACAATGACAAGCAATAATTCACGAAATCCGCACCCCTAATGTAAACTATATCCAAGACAAATCTCAATACTAAACGACACTTTCGCAATTCCACCGTGCCGTATAGAAAGAACAAAGTATCAGAAAAGCGTTATCTCAAAACCCGGGGAAAAGTTTCACTCGCTATGTCGTCTTCACTATGGCGCAATAATGAGTCACTGTCAACAGGAAATCAAGATAATGGGGATAGAACATAATTTGTCTGGGATTGTTAATATAATAGAGAAATATAAATGGACAAAAGTGTGAGGCGTGCGAGATCAAATCTAACACTCCGGCCCCAGATAATTTAGACATATAATTATCTCAATAAAAGAGGTGATCGAAGTAGCCGAACACAAAACATATAAGTGAATCAAAAAAGCAAATGATAAATACGAAATTGTGCATGGAAAAATGTGAACAGTGTGAAATGTAATATACAGAAACAAAATGAATAATCATCAATCAGACATTTAATCAAGTTCAAGTGAACTTATCTTCCTAACATCACGCATGAAGGTAGATTTGGAGGTTCGTACCTTCACCCTACGCACAATGCCTAGTCTATCAGGATAAACCTCATCCACAACAGCCATTGGCCAACTACCACGGGGAAGTATGTCATCACACATAAGTACTAAGTTACCAGGCTTCAGGTTAGGGGAGGGATGAAACCACTTTGAGCGTTTCTGAAGCAGAGGTAAATATTCCCTTGTAAATCTCTGCCAAAATATGTCCAACAACCGCTGGACATGTCTATAGCCTTGTCTATACTCATCACCTCGCAGAAAAACATCAGGGGAGAGATCAGGATCTAATTTACTTAGTAAAATAGAGTTAGGTGACAGGGCATGGAGGTCTCTGGGATCATTACTTACTCGAGTAAGGGGTCTGTCATTTAAGATGGATTCCACTCCAGCCAAAAAAGACCATAGTGAATAATCGGTTAATGGTTTATCATCAAGCATATTCCTCAGAATCTTCTCAACTTCCCTGATCAATCTTACAACAACTCCATTCTGGTGACTTGCAAGAGGTGGTGAAAAATGCCATTGAATTCCATTTTGTGCAAAAGCATTGTCAATTTGTTTCCCATTCCAATTTGTAATTTCATCCTTGAGAGCTTTACTTCCAGCAATAAAATTCGTACCATTGTCAGAGTACATGTGAGCTGGTCTTGCACGTCGCGCGACAAAACGAAAAAAGGCTTGTAAAAATGCAGAGGTATCCAAACTTTCTGCAACCTCCAGATGAATTGCTCTAGTAGAAAGACAAGTGAATATAACTCCGTAACGCTTACGTTCGCTTCTGCCCAACTTGACCTTTATAAGACCAAAATAATCAACGAAGCTGTGAAAGAATGGTCTATTTCCTGCACAAAGTCTAACAGCAGGCATATCTGACATCCATTGTTTACCAGGTCTGGCAGACCAAATCTTGCATGGCATGCATTCTCTAAGAATTTTTGCCACCGCTGACTGAAGATGCAATATCCAATATTTTTGTAACAAATAAGCCTGTACTTGATTGCTTCCACAATGTCCATGTTCACAGTGGACATTATCGATCAGAAGTTTAGTGGCATGGTGATATGGTGGTAAAATTGCAGGATTCCTATGATCAGGTTGTAATTCGAATTGACGAAGCCTGCCTCCAACTCGACAAACCACATATCGATTACACTGCAAGAGTTCTTTAGCAAACGGCGATTTAAGTCGTTTTCTGTCAGAAGGTGGAGGGCCCGAACTCATCATATCTTTAAAATAGCAAAGATCAGCAGACAACGAATCTGTTTGAATAAGTTTCACAATATCTATAGTTGCATTTTCCCGTTCTGCAACAGTAAAACAACCAGTAACAGGAGAATCAGAACGATGTAGCAATTTCCCAATCATGTAAGTCTTGAATCTTTGAAGCCATATCACAGAGGAAATAAGTCTTTCAAATTTAGAGTAACGTTCCAACAACAGCATAAGTCCAGGTTGTTGTGTAGTAGAATTCTTGTCATTGTAGGAAATTTCATTATAATTAACTTTCACTTCAGAACATATTTCAGAGTCCTCAATTGTTTCAGAAATATGTGATTTTCCCAATGGTTCCTTGCTTCTCAGAAACGGAGGTCCTTTGAACCAGCAATCAGCTTTGTGGCACTTATCGGGCATTAGTCCACGACTGGCAATATCTGCTGGATTAGATTATTCGGGATTATTCGTCTCGTAATAGTGGTAAAAATATAAATGAACGATTATTATTATGTAAGACGGGATGCATGCACAAGACCGTACTGGCCTAAAACACAAATGTGCGGCATGCACCCTTTTTAACAAATATAAAACAAAAAACATTAGATTAAATATGTATAGTATGGTCCCTTATATAGACAGTTGTGCAATGTGGGGCAATGGGTCGTTTGGTGTGGTGAAAGTGGTAAGGGTGGAGTATACAAAACTGTTTATACAGGGGAGTTTATAAGACAAGACAATATAATATATATAAATAGAGATAACACAACACCAAATAAACATATACATAACAATGAAATCAAAATTTAGGCGCAAATACAGCGCCTTTGAGTGGTGAGACCATATGTAGTATGAATGGGCGAAGTATACGTAAGAGATAAATTTGCGGTTCTTATGCCTACATGGTATGCGTCACTCAAGAGTGCTAGTAGAGTCTTTGATGGAATATATCCATTTCAGCAAAATGTGAACCATACAGATTTTGTTGAAATACTTCAGTTCGAGTGTCAAATTCTTAAGTATTCTTGTTTTATTCATAAAATTGAGGCCGAATGTGGTAAGAATTAAAGGAAAAATAAACTTAAAGAAAAGCATTTCAACAAAGCCCGTCATGATTGCATTTTTGCCAGAAGAAAGTAAATGTATAAAAGTACTATTTAATTAAGGCTAATATTTTATAAAAAGAAGCATTGTTTCCATGTCATGGATTGCCCTAATTGTATTAGGATCACAATAGAGTAATATGGTTTCATGGGGGGAGGAAGGGAGAATATATTTGATTTTGTGCTGACCTATTTGAGAAAGAAAGGGCCCAGCATGTTACTTTGACGAAGAGAACTCTTTCTATTGATGACTGGATTGAAATTTGATGTAATTGTAATTTGTTATCTTTAACCTAATTTGCTGTTTTTATTGTCTTTGTCTAATTAAGCATGATAATAAGATTAGAAGGGTGAGTTAAAACATTAATTCAGTTCATTGTTTCATATTGCATCCCGCTGAGGTAGCCTGCGGAGTTTGAAGTCGCCATCTACTGTGTGGTGATTTGATATCCTTCGGAGTTTCCTGTTGGTGCTTTCAGTCCAAATAGTCTCTAGTAGCCCATCTTAGTAACCGAATTCCCTAAAAAAATAAACTCCGAAACAGTAATATGTTCAAAACAAAGATTTTGGTTAATATGATGATAATAAATGTTGTATAAGTTTGGAATGAAATTCTGAGTTTGATTTTGATTTTTTTAAGCCATTAGGTAGGGAATTCCAAGCTTTTGGTCCACATACTGGGATAGGGATATTAAACAGGATGTATTTAAATTGTTGGCTGTTTTCGTAATAGCACCTAGAGATGACCTTGTTTTAGATAGAATCAGGTTTGTGTGCTGTTTCCAACACAATTTGTCATCAATTATTACACCCGAAAAGCGCGTCTGGTTAACCCTTTCTATATTTATTCCAATCAATTCCAGATTTTGTTGCGGCGTTAGACACTTTTGCTTTGGCGCGCTAAATACCATATATTTGATTTTTTCTAAATTAATAGTGAGTTTGTTCGCAGACAACCAAGCTTGAATATTTTCCAAGTCAGTATTTGCTTTGGTCAAAAGTTCAAGCAAGTCTTTGCCTCGAAGATATGGCGTTGAGTCATCAGCAAAAAGTATGGTATCAGAGTGATGTAGAGATTTTGGAAAGTCGTTAATAATGATTGAAAAACATAATGGAGCCAAAATAGAACCTTGTAAGATGCCTACAGTCAAATTACAGTATGTGCTAGATCAGTGGTTCCCAACCTTTTTACCCCGGCGGACCGGTAAAATTAAATGTACTCGCGGATCGGCAAAAAATCGAAATGAACGGAACAGGAAAAGAATAACATATATTTGCGTAATATAAATGCAATGTCGGACACTCAATTGCTTCTAGACAAAAAAGGCACACTTAAAAATATTGCAGTGCTGTGAACCCATCATGCGTAAGAAAGGCACGCACAAAACATCTCACATAAAAAACAGTGCTTGCCAAATCACGTACAAACATAATTAACTCTAGTGATAATTTGGCTGCTGTTTTGTTTCCAATATATGTTTGCAAACGAGGCCTCAAAAAAGTTTCAGCAACACGTAGCTCTGCAACGGCGTGCAGCCGATATCTTTGCTTCATTTTGAAGCTAGTGATGAAAATGTTTTTTCGCATAACGCAATAACTGGTTGAAAATACGGACAGGACAACAGTTTGATTGCGCGACTACTTAGCGATGGGTATTCGTTATCAAGAGATATCCGAAATTGTGACAGTGATTCGTTTTTAAATCTTAAAAGATGGAGCGCATTCGCGATGAATCGGAGCCGAAAAAGCGAAAAGTGTGAATACTCGGCGCCAAGATGTCGCAATATGTGTGCGAAAGAGAAAGCGTAATAAACAAACACAACCTCGGCTTCGGTAAAGCGATTGAGACTACACAACGAAATTTCTCGCGGACCGGCAAAAAAGCTTCGCGGACCGGCGGTTGGGAACCACTGTGCTAGACGCTACGTCATTGTATATTACTACTTGTTTCCTTCCTGATAAGTAGCTTTCAAACCAATTATAACTCTGACCTCTAACACCAATATGGTGCAATTTGGCTAGTAATGTGTCATGGTCAATACTATCAAATGCCTTGGAAAGGCCCAAGAACATACTAAGAATATACTCGTTCTTTTCAAATCCTTCTAAAATTTTACTGACAAGTAGAGATGTTGCATGGCATGTTGCGTGATTTTGGCGAAAGCCAAATTGCTGGGAATAAAAGAAATTTTTTTTTGTCTAGGAAATGATTGAGTCTCTTGTACATAATTTTTTCTAGAATTTTGGAAAATGCAGGAAGTGAGCTGATCGGTCGGTAGTTTTTTACATCCTTTGCGTTCCCTTTTTTGAACAATGGAATAACTTTGGATAATTTGAACTGGTCTATGTATTTACCAGATTGTAAGGAGCAATTAAAGATATGCGTGAGAGCACAAATACAATTCCAGGGCATCATTCGTATAACTTTAAAGGGAATTCCATCTATTCCACAACTGGTTTTGGGTCAAAAAGATTTCGGAATATTTTGGACTTCGAAAGCTGTTGTCGGGACAAGGAACATAAATGTTTTACTGGGATGTCCCATATATTGCTTAAAGTCGTCCTTTCTGGTATGAGTAAACCGTTCGATCATTTTATTTCCAATTGTAGAAAAGTGCGAGTTAAAATGATCTGCTATTTTGACAGGATCCGAGGTTTCCTGGCCATTAATAGAAAATACTTTTGTTAGATTCGGTTTTGAATGCCAAAGCAGATCGTTCATAGTACGTCAGGTTTTCTTAAGGTCATTACGATGTCTACCTAGTAATGACTTGTAATAATTTTGTTTTTTAGCAGTTATCAATTTCTCATATGTTTTTTTGCATTCTGAATATTTGAATTTGGCCCTCTCTGATTTTTAATATTTCTATTCTTTAGTGGAAAACAAGTGTTAAAAGATTTAGAAAAATACTCTGAAAAATACTCTGAATAAATTCTGAAGGCTATATCAGGATCTGTTTTGCTGAACACAACAGAAAAGTCACTTTGTTCTAACATGAGTTTAAAATTATCTGAATTTGAGACATTATATTGCCTGAAGTATTCGTTTTCTGTCCTGCAAAGTTTTTTTCCTCAATAGAATGCAAACCAGGACTGGCAGGTGTTCTGAAATAGGATCAACTATTATTGCACTACGGGGTTTACAATCAAAGATGTTAGTCCAAATATGGTCGATGATTGTAGAGCTGCTTTGAGTGATTCGAGTTGGCTTTGGCACTACCGGGTAAAATGAAGCCGAGTTCATCAGCTCACAAAATTCATCTACAGTCTTGTTGTTTGTTTCCAGAAGCTTATAATTGAGGTCTTCCATGATAATACTATTTTTCGATAAATTTTGGATGAAATTAGTAATTAAATTTTATTAAATTAATTAAATTTTATTAAATTAATTAAATTTTAGATGAAATTAGTTAGCTAATTAGTAAAACTTATATGGTATCTAATCGTTGAAACTCTTCTCCTCGATCTGTCAAACTAGGTATTAGAACCTTGGGTGTCCAGCTCGATAACCAGTTTTGGTTCCCCGCGGCTTCCCTTCCCCAGTAACTTAAATATCATTTTTTCTTTATATTTTTGCATGTTTTTTTTGTTTTTTACTGGTTGGAAAAAATAAACTTGACTTGACTTTTGGAGTGTCGATTCCAGAATACCAATAAATTGATTATTGCTTTGACTATCTGATAAGGGACTGTAAATTGTTCCACAGGTCACAATTCTATCTTTCAAATAAATGTCTACAAAAATGGATTCAAAAATTCGCTCATTCATAACTGAAATGCCAGGTCTAGTCTTGAAAGTAATATTGCTTTTGATGTATAGGCCAACACCTCCACCCTTAAATTCCAATTCAATCCTAAAGTACGACTCACCGCATCATTGCCTAGTTCCAGAGCATGAGCAACGGGAGCCTTGTCCTCTTCAGGAACACTTTGTAGAACTTCTGGTTCATTGCTTAAAAATTTAGTCAAGTGAAAACCTCCCGTTGCCAGTACATCAGTAGTCTGTCGAACTAATGTAGATGTCTCCTCTACTGTATCTTTTGAAAATAATCCGTCATCTACATAAAAATCAAAGCAAATGCATCGAACAGCGGTCGGATACGCATTAGATAAATTATCTTCTGCAACCTTTCGTAGAGCAAAGGTTGTAATAGAAGGTGAGCAGGTAGTACCAAAGACATGAGATAGCATTCTAAATTGAGAAACAGGTTTTATGAGACCATGTGTAGGAAACCATAGAAAACGAAGTGATTGTGTATCTTCAGGCTTCACGAATATTTTGTGAAACATCTGTCGAATGTCACAAGACACGGCAATGGGGTTCAAACGGAAGCGTAGAAGAACTCCAACTAATGAGTTATTGAAATAAGGTCCTGATAGTAAATTCTTGTTCAGTGATTTTCCATCAAACTCTGCTGAACTGTCAAAGACAACACGAAACTTCGATTGTCTTGTTGCATGGTGTGGAATGAATCAGGTTCTCTCTGTAGGTGCCAATTCATCTTCTGGTATCTGTTCAGCATATCCATTCTTTATATATTCATCCAGTTTCTCAATATACTTTGTAGCAAATTCAGCATCCTTCTCCATTTTTCGCTTGACAGACATGAGACGTTTGAGAGCCATGTTATAGTTGTACGGTAATTTAATATCATCCTTTTTCCATAATAAACCAATTTGCAATCGTCCCTCAACACGCTTCAAAGTATCATTCATAATTTTCGTAGCTCTTTCATCATCCAAAGAAGGTTGTGTTGTCAATGGATCTGCATTCATATCAGCAAAATCATTTCCACAAGTTTGACAGACAGCAATTTCACGGTTAACATCATTCTCATCCAGGATATCATCATGCAATGTGGAACAAATAAAGAAAAAAATCACAACCATTCAATTTGCTGCTAACCGTCCTCTGACAATCTGTCACTTCCGTCTTGGTATTGATTTTGCGATATAGTTCATGGTTGTCAATTGTAGGTGTCTGTGGATTATCACATGCAATTTATTCCTCCTGCAAATTGTGATCTTCTTCTGGAAGACTTTGAGATAACATGCAAGTATCGCATGAAGTGTCATTAAATGATAGCAATGGAAGAGTAGTAGAAATAAAATTCACGGCTACATCACTTTGTAAATTCTGTACATCAGATATCATAGGCACAGAAATGTTAATATAATTCAGGGAATTATTATCAGATTTCATTGAGGGATCTTTGCCAAAGAGACACCATCCAAGGCATGTAAGCAAGGCTCCTGAAGTGCCAGGAGGTCCGACTCGGGAATCAGTAAATAGACAATTACCCAGGGTATCTGCCCCAATTAATAGTTCAACATCGCCATCAATATCTGGGAACCTCAAACCATCCAAATGAGGATATTTGTCAATTATATCTGGCCTTGGCAATGAATTGCTGACGTCAGGAATTTTGTCAAAAGTTAAAGCATTGTGTACCTCAACAATGTTAGTATTATTCACGTTAGACGAAATGATACTCTTTCTCCAGTATGAACAGCAACGCCATTTGTAGTGCGTATCATGCAACGCTCTGGTTTACCAGAAAGGCCAATAGATTTCGCTAGACGAGTAGAGCAAAATGATCTTTGAGATTCTAGATCTAAGAAAGCAATTGTGTAGTGTATTCTGCCTTTAGATCTTTATAAACAAGCACCAAGTTTCCATTACAACACTACTTTATTATAAGAGTCGAGCACTTCAACATTAAGACAGCATAGCAGTAACAGACTAAACAGCATGTCAGCACTTAACACGTGCACAGATAGAACAAGAATGACAGCCTCGGATATACAAGGTCAAATCAGTCTGGGTCAATAGCGTCACCTAGCGGTATTACATCATATAATATACAACACTTTTTCCCCCCTTCAAAAAAAATGAGAATGTCATTACATTTCATTTACATTGTTTCAATCAACCGCTCAGGCTTAACCCTAAGACGTTTCGGATAACGTGAAATTTCAACAGATGTTTCATCAGGGCACTGGGTTTCACTTTCAGTACTAACATTAGGATTAACAGGTAAATTTTCATTAGCACTAGGGATATCAACATTAGGATCAATTACATCAGTATTTGGAAACACAGAAGGCAATGAAACGTCATCATCCAAACTACTATCATATGATTTCTCTAATTTCACTTTAGACATGTCCAATATTTGATCAATATGTCTTTTCCAGGTCATTGAACCAACTTTTACACGATAGGTTACAGGACTCAACTTCTCTACGATTATTCCATGAATCCATTTTCGGTTTGGATCTCTATAATCACGAACTTGAACACGATTTCCAACTTCCAGATTTCTAATAGACTTTTGCACTGGAGTTGTTCTTTTCTGCATCGAATTACTCAAATTAGGTTTCAATAAATCTAATCTTGTTCTCAGTCTTCTTTTCATGAATAATTCAGCTGGAGTACATTTCGTTGTAGAATGTGGCGTTGTTCGATAAGTTAACAAGAACGATGCCAACTTCTGATTCAGTGTTTCAGGTAATTTCTTTAAAGTTTTCAGTGCAGTCTTGAAGGTACGCACATTTCTTTCATCCGCACCATTAGAGGACGGATGATACGGACTTGAGAAGATTTGACCACCACGACCACCACCAGAAAATTTTCATTCATTATTGGACCAGCATAGTCAATATGAATTCTTTGCCATGGCTTCGTAGGCCATATCCATGAATTTCCAGGCGTTTTATTCGCAGGACTTCTTACTTCCTGACAATTTGAACAATCTCTCACTTTCTGTTCAATTCTTTCATCAATATTCGGAAACCGAACATGCAATCTGGCTAATGATTTCATCCGAACCATACCAGGATGATTTTCATGCAGTTCAACTAGTACTTCTGCAATATACTTTTCAGGAATAATAACTCTTATTCCCCACAGCAATATTCCTTCTTCCACAGTAATTTCATCTTTCCTCCTGTGGAATGGCAACAATTCATTTGTAATTTCCTCCTTTGCAGGCCAACCATTTATAGTATCAGCAACCCTCGTGAGAGCTTTGGATCATTTTCAGTTGCATTGCGGAGCTTTGCAGGAGTTATGGGAAGCGTATGAACTTGGTTATGTTCATAATCGTTGCCTCTTCTTCCCAACAATCACGTATTTAAGACTGATCTGTTTTCATGGGCAATCGGGATAATGCATCTGCATTCCCATTATTTTTCGTGTTTCAATAACATATTTCATATTTATATACAGACAGTTTTATAGCCCACCTTTGCAATCTGGTTGCAGTTAAAACAGGTATACCACGTTTTGGACTCAATAGCATAGTTAAAGGTGATCAGTCAACAATTTAAAATTTCGACCATATAAATACACATGAAATTTTCTTACACCATATACAATTGCTAGTGCCTCCTTCTCAATTTGGGAATAATTTTTTTCAGCACTTGTTAAAGTACGAGAAGCATATGCAATAGGTTTTTCAGCACCATTTGGCAGTATATGAGAAATTACAGCACCAATACCTACAGATGAAGCATCAGTGGCAAGTACTAATGGTTTTTCAGGATCATAGTGTACTAGCACTTCAGATGACACCAATATATCTTTCAATTTCACAAAAGCTTTTTTACAGTCACTATTCCAATTCCATTTCATACCCTTTTTCAGTTTTTTATTGAAAGGATCAACAAGGGTAGACATTGCCGGAATAAATTTACGATAATAATTTACAATACCAAGAAAAGATTGTAATTCTTTTACATTTTCAGGGCTAGGGATTTCCATTATTGCTTCAATCTTTTTCGGAGAAGGGTGAATACCTTCTGCATTAACAATAAAAGCAAAATACTCAACAGATGGTTGCAAAAAACAACATTTAGAGCGTTTCAATTTTACACCAAATGAATTCAATCTATATAGAAGTTTATCAAGAAATTGCAAATGACTATCATCATCTTCTTCTGTGACAATCAAATCATCCAAAATATAACCCACATTTGGCAATCCCTGGGGAATTTTCTCCATAGTTTCTTGGAAAATACTAGGACTAGAAGCTGCCCCATATGGTAACCTTAAATATCTAAATAACCCCATATGAGTATTAATAGTGACATATTTCTGAGATTCATCATCAAGTAAGACTTGTTGATAAGCTTCTGATAAATCAAGCTTTGAAAATTTCTGTCCCCCATTCAATTTACTAAATAGGTCCTCAGGTCTAGGCAAGGGATATTCAGGGACATCTAATTCAGGATTTATAGGTACTTTAAAATCCCCACAAATTCTTACTGAACCATCAGCTTTCAATACTGGAACAATGGGTGAAGCCCAATCAGAACTTTCAACTTTTTTCAGGACCCCCATATTTACTAGTCTTTTCAGCTCATCCGAAATTTTATCACGAAGAGCAAAAGGAACAGGACGTGGCTTGTAGAATTTCGGAATGGCACTCTCTTTCACCGTTAGTTTAGCAGTTATACCTTTTATAGTACCAAGGGAATTATCAAAAACAGGGTACTTTTTCAAAATATTCTCAAGCGTGAGCTTGGAACCAATATGACAAATACGATGCCAATTCAATTGCAATTGGGATAACCAATTTCTACCCAATAGTAATGGACCATTGCCACGAACAATTTGCAAAGGTAAATTTACACACTGTGACTCATATTCAACAGTAACATTCACTCTACCTAAGACAGTAATATTTTCACCAGTATCTAATTCAAATTTACAATCACAATTTTCAATTCTCAGTGGAACTACTACTGGACCATAAGAACTAGACTTAGTAGTAAATACAGGACACATTTCATTTTGAAAACAGTCCGAAGACAGGTTATCATCATTCGTAGGTTGGATGTAGTCACAATTCGAAGACTTTTTACTTTTCAGAGGATTGGAACTTCGATAGAAGTTACGTTGCATTGAGCATTTTCGACTTATATGCCCAATTCGTTTACATTTATGGCACTTTGCATTTCTGTAGAAACAGCTTTCAGCAGGATGATTACTTTTCCCACATCGAAAACATTCTTTAAATTTTCGAATTTCAGAACGCTTTGCAAATCTTTGATTATTTTGTACTTTATGAACTTTTAGTTTACTTTCATCTACTGGCAATTTTTCAAATTTGCAACTTAATTCATTGACTTGTTTTTCTGCCAATTCCATACCAGTAGCAATTTTCACAGTATTCTGCAGAGTTAGG